ACACTCGTGCTGAGCAGAACGGAAAAAGGGCTGAGTTTAGAGGTTTGTACGATTTGGTAATTTAATTATTTTTTTTTTTTATGTAATGAAGTTAAAATTTTCTCAACTCCTTACAGGAATTGCGTAGCATCCGAGGTTTGCTATCCAGGCGTGGCTTATATACGGAAACGATTCGAAAGGTGTGCAGCTCAGCGGCTACAAGTTTGGGGGTTATGAGTAGCTACTTGTTGGCGCTGATGGGATTTTTTGCCATTGCTAAATCTTATTTTTGAAAACAAATTATTAATTTAAGATTTGATGTTAGTTCAAGTTTGAAATTTATTCTAATTTTATGTGCCTAATTTTATGCTTTAATTTTGTAGTATTTGTGCAACATACTGATTGGAAAATAGCCAGCGAAAAAAATTCATTAAATTTTGTGTACAAGAATAATACATACATACAAACGAGTATCTATGCACACTAGGGTGGCCCAAAAGTACACAGGAAAATTAACTTTTAGAAGTTTTCTTGCTGCCAGCCCCCAGAACTATAGAAAATAGAAAACAAGGAGAACGGATATTATTATTTTGCAGTCAGTTAATATTTAAACCTTGAAAAGTTCTATATATTTTATATTGGATAAATGATGTCTTTTTATGGAATTGCCATAAAATTGTTAAAAATAAATATTCGAAAAAAAATAATTAAAAATTAATATATCGAATAAAAATATTTCCCTTTAGAAGTATTCCATTCATAGAATAGGATGGAAATTTACCTTTAAAATGTTACTAAGCTGTTAATTCAAAAAGTGCGTAATACAAGCACATAAAATAGCTAAATTCTGTAAATACATAAGAGATGAGATTATCGGTTATGAAAAAGTACTTAGCAAAAATTTTGAATTTAAATATGCATCCGAATTTTATTTCTGAAGTGAAACATTTTTATTGCAGCAAAAAACATTTATTTTTAGCTATTTTATAGCAGTTTTACGAAAAAAATTTTTGTTCTTATTATAAAATATATGGAAAGCTTCAAAATCCGACGGCACGGTTAAATGTCAACTGATTTCAAAATAAAAAATACTGGTCTCCTTATTTTCGATATTAATTAGTTCGGCAGCTGACATTATTATTTTTTTATCATCCTAATGTGCATATGTTAATTTTTGTACATATATTAGTATAGATAGTATATGTATATATGTTAAACAATAACAACAATCCTTTTTTTTGAAATTGCGTCCAATTAAATTCAATTCAATTAAATTAGTCCAACTCCAGTGTCAGAGTGAAAAACGATGCGAAAGCTATCTTCATATGTTCATTCAACATTCATAGGTACATACATATTTTCATACATATGTATAGTTATAGTATATATGTATGAACCCAGAGATATTGCACACACACGAAATACTTCCATATTTACGAGTAGGCGTATAATGCGTCTAATTAAATTATTTGTGCAGCTAATTAAGTTAAGATTACAAAAAAACCAAAAAAAAAAAAATGTCTCGCAGAAATTTCGTCTATGATTGGATAAACGTTTGCAGCCTATTAAGGAAAATAAAATATTATTTCCTCTTACGTTTACGTTTTATTTCCACTTACTGTGTGACAGTAAAGTTTGAATGAAACTTACTTGTGATTCTAGACTGTGTGACGTCTAACGGTTGCGAAATGGAGGAAAAACATACATATATACATATCTCAATAAGCGCTTCATTTCTTCCATAAAATTACATTCAACATTTAGTTAAGTTCGGTGAATCGGGTTGGCATTAACCCACACATAGATCGGTTAACAATATCTAATAATAATATTATGGCGCTTACACTTGTGTTAAGTGTTTGGCCGAGCTTCTCCTCCGATTTTTAGTGGGCCTCCTAATGTTATGATACAAATGGAGGGACCTATAATTTAACGCCGCCTTCGGACGGCAAACGGTTTTAATGAGATCATTTTTCAAGGCAGAAATACACTGGAGGCTTGTCATCGCCTGTCGGGAGGCGAAAGCTGTTAGAAAAAAACCTTAAACCTTAAACCCAGGACCTTCAGAGTGGTAGCACGTACCTCAACGACCTTCGATCGGCTGATCGGCTGGTATATTATAAAAAGGTTTCCTCCAAAATCCGCAATGGTGGGCGCAGACTTTTCCTACCAGAACTGAAATCATTAGGTTCGCTGACGATATTGTGCTGGTTGCAGTGGCAAAATACTTGACGGGTATTAAGTCAGAAGCGTAGACGGCAAAATCGATGATCATGGACATGAACAAAATAGGCTTATATATAACGCCGGAAAAGAAACGGGAGCGGACTTTATTAGCAGCCGTAAGAAGACTCCTTCAATTTGGTAGATAGTTATCTAATCAAACCTGTACGCAAGCTGAAATATCTTGGTTTTATAAAAGATGACAAAATCAATTTTGGACCGCATGCGGAATATGTAATACACAAAAAAGGTCAAAGATACATGGGACATTTCTCGAATGCTGCCTAACAGCGGTGGATCTCGAAGCGGAAAGCATGTTATACTGGAAAGAGTATTAGCATTGGTGCTTCAGCCTGGGAAAAATCCATTTTGATCAAATAGTATCGTCGACTAGTATATGAGGCCCTCATCGCAGACATAACTCCTATCGATCTGTTATTTGAAGAAATAATGCCAAAAGGGGCAACAACGCTAAGCAAATTCCTTTAAATGAAAGTGAACGTTCAGACTGATGACAAGCATAGAAAAGTGATTAAATAGTGCAGTAAACTTCCACTTAATGCAGTTTCTGACAGGCCATGTTGCTACCGAATATTTCTACACCGTTCCGGCTTTGATGAGACGGAAGATGCGGAACACGCAATGGTTCTTAGCGCGGTAAATACAGCCACAGATACACCAGCAGCTAAGACGAGCAGAAGCTACCCGAATAAGCAATGCAAATTGGTAACAGTTGTACCCGAACGTGACTATGGTGGTTGGGCCAACAGCCATCGGACCCGTCTATGGTGGGTTTTTATTTTATTTTAAAGCTATACAGAGGACTACATGAGAACTTTAACGTACCTGCAGTTCGCCGCAGTATTGGGGATTGGTACTTTAATGCTAAAAGGTTTGACTTTCGATGCTTCCTCGAAAACAAAACCCGTGTGGTAAAGCTAGGGATCAGATGGAGACCGAACCTTATGAGTTGAAGTACACTTAACGTAAAGTACAGCTCCACACTTAACGTTTTACTCGTTGTGGATTTCAGCGCTCATGTCAACATACAAAACTTACAGCTGATTAGAACACCGAAAGCCGGAAAAGCGCAAAAAACCAGAGAAATTTGATGATGAGTTTTACTTTTAGGGTGTTTACGCTTCACGCTTTCCAACTTCTCGAATTGAGAGGTAGCAATAATCGTGTTTTGACAATGCCGGACATAAACAGGGAAGACGCTCCGTTTTGCTACAAGATTTTTTCACATGATTTTCAGCTTTCCAGGTGGCTGTCCCATTCCATCTAAGTAACGTTAGGTTGAAGCTGGTACCTGTTTCCAATGGGCTCGTTGTGATAACAATTGAGAGTCGATCGCAGTATTCAAAGACCGGAGTGGTTGTTGTTGCTGTAACAGCATGTAAGTTCCTCAAAGAGTTTTTGGGGTTATCGGCAGTCGTGTTAGGTGGTGATCGACTCCCTATGAATGCCGTTGATCACTCGTCGGTGCATCTTCAGGTCCAGTAGTTGGTCGATGTACGTCTCTAACGTAGCTCGGCGGAGGCTCTTTCTCATGCAGGGGTAAGTTAGGGTGCCTACGCTTGTGGCATTATAAGTGAAACTACCTTCATATTTTTGTATTTTTGGCTACAAGTAAGCTATGAATAACTAAAGTTCTTGAAAAAATACGAATACAAATGCATTGGCAAAACAAAATGTGAATCATTAAATTTTAGTGTAATCACGTTGTTATTCGAGAAATAAGAAAACAAGTGTAACGACCCCTTCACCCCTTCCCCATATAGATCCGCCACTGATAGTGCATACATATTTATATGTATGTAAGTATACATTGGATTTTTTTCTTTTTTCCCATGGATCCAGGAATGCATGTGTCAGAGTAATATATACACACATTTATAGTATAAATATGCGGGCTTGGATTATGTTCTTTCAACGTATCGCCTTTCATTGACCTACAATCCAAATCACACCATACACAAATGTACAGGTTTAAAGAAACAGTCGGCCACGCGCAATAAGAATAGTGTTATCGCTGCATATTTAGTACTTACCCCGACTAATGGAGTACCCACACTTGTAGTGATATATTTACAAACATGCGTTAAAAATAAATAAAGAAATTTGATTGTTAAATTTTAATAATTTACTATTTCGCTAATTAACTCATTAAACTAATACTATGTACACATCCATATAAAAAAAAATAATTAACCTAAAAATTCGTGTTTTCGCCAACCACTTCAGTGATCACAATGCATCCTTAATCTTCGCCCGATAGTTCTCATTGTAATACTGCAAGCGTATTTTCGACGGCAGATCCTGTGTCTTTTCGAATTCGCAATTTTTGTGTATTTTCACCATACGGCCATTAGGTCCAGCGCCAGATGTGCGCCAATAAACTGTCTGCATGGCATTTCTGCCGGCGATATAGCGTGTGGTAGCACCAACCAGTGGATGAAGATTCTTCGCGGACATTTTGTAAATATTGTGCAGTATTATTGACTTTGTATTGTAATTTAATTAAGTAGTTCTCACAAAACTATACGTTTGTTTAGTAAGAGGCAAAATTTTATGCACGACTTATTGCTACTTTCAATGTTCACTTCTTTCTGTTAGCTACTAAGAAGCAACGATCATTTTTATACTCTTTACACTTAAGCACCAAAGTCTCTATCGTTGGTTTGTTTTAGTGATTGGAAGTTAGTCTCAGCTGATAGGTTTCACGCTTATCAGTTTTAAGTATGTTTATATGTATGTATGTATGTATGCACGTATGTTGTATTATTCCCTTTTTATAGTATAAAAAAATTAGTTGTTGTAATTTAAGCGCACTTTAGTCGGTATTTTCTGGTTAGGATTCTAAAGTTTTGTTAGCTAGAACTTATGGCATACAAATTACATATATACATACATATATACTTACGTATATGTTTTTATGCATGCAGTTGGTTCCTGCTGGGGTGTAATGATAATATAGATGTCCAACAATAAGAAGAGTAGACTGACAGGTTTATGCTTAATCTAACCTTACCGTTGTGTTGAATGAGATTTTTTCATACATATGTATATCGCATTATTTTAACCATGACAAAACCGTTAAACGATTTTTTAGAATCGGAATTCTTCAAAGTGCTTTAAAAAACCCCCATAAGTAAAATAAGAGTAACCTCTAAATTTCACGTAAAAATCTAAAGCAAATTTTGAAAAGT